CTTTTTGGTAAGCAACACCCAAAACCCAGTGGGTTTTGGGACATCGACCCCCAACCCCTTCGGGGGTTGGCCTTTTTTTTATTAAAATTAGTGGGTTTTCGGCTCCCAAACCCGGTGACGGGTTTGGGGGATCGACTCCCATTCCTCGGGGATTTAGGTGGAAATTCCGGGGGTTTCGGGGTTTGGGAGTCGATCCTCCACTTTTTGGGAGTCGATTAGCTAAGACCCTAATTTAATATCTTGGCGATCAAAGAAACAATCAACCATTTGTTTGTCATCAACCAAAGCGGAATACATAGCTATCACCAAAGTCACTAAAAAACTGATCTGGCTTAAAATGGTGACTGAAACTGCCCTCAATTTTTCAATTCCTTTGCCTTCCCCGATTTATGAAGATAATCAAGCGGCAATTCTTCTAGCAAATAATGAATCTAATCACTCAGCTTTCAGGACTAAACACATGAATCTTTGATATCATTTTGTTTGATCTGAAATCATCTCCGACAATCTTTCTCTGATTTACAAGAAGATTCAAGGAATTCTGGCAGATTTTATTACAAAATCTATTGGAAGATCTTCGATTTTTAAGGTTCTTTGAGTTCTTCAAGCTGGTATGCCCAAGGGAGTGTGTTGGAATTTGATGTGCACAGTGGGTGCAGGTGTGAGAATTCGTTGTGCACAGTTGGTGCAGGTGCTGTCAATACTCCAGATCAGGAGTGTTGTGATCATGATGTCATGATCAATCTGGCACAGTCAACAGGTTCTTTCCCTCATCCCATCTTATTTATCACAACTCGACATCGCTTAACTCTTCAACATTAATCATCAAGTTCAGCTTTGATCGAGTGTGAGGGATCAATTGCTAGGGATTTGTAGCCTTGAGTTATCTTATTGTTATTTCTCATTGTTATCATTCACTAGCTGTTTACCGCTCTAACCTTGTTTTCTTAGCTTTTTATCCTGAATTAGTTGATAAGATACTCTTTAAGAGTCAATCGTACTTACTGTGTTGGTAGTTCATTTAACTTCCTGTTCTTTCAAGGTATTACTCTTATCTTTTTCTTTTATCTCATTTTTATTTTACTGAAATTTATCTTCTTTTAAGCCTATAAATTTCTCAGTTCTAGCTCAGCAGGTTTGACAAAAAAGGAAAAGTCTCTGATTAGTACAGGCTTTGGGATTTATCAGAGAAGAAAGAAAAGGAAAAGAGAAGGATGAAGAGCAGAATAAAGAAGGATAAAGATAGAAACAGGATGAAAAAATGAAATGAGTTTGGCTTACCTAGCTCAGTAGTCTTGACAACAAAAGAAAAGTCTCTGCTGAGCTAGGAGGGGGAGCGGGGCAATAGTGGGGTTCACGATACACCACCGGAGCATCTCAACGGCAACCCGCCCGGAGTCTTGACGGACAACCCAACCTCCAGCAACCCGGCCAAACCTTCCTGTCTACCAACATCAAATTGGCAGCTTTGCAGCCAGGAGGTCTGCATGGTTGGGGCATTGACCCATGTCCACCCAGAGGGATGGGGGTGGTCCGACAATAACCCGCCAAACTCAAAAAAATATCCCAGGCAGCTGACCCTGCCTGGGATTATGGATTCTGGGTGTATTTTGCTGGCCTAACCGCTGTTTGCCATCCCCTCACTGCTGACATCGTTCCATGAGATGGGTCAGCTGTCAGAGCGCAAAATTTCTGCCGTGGGCGCCCAAAATTTGGGTCCTCCAATCCTAGGCCATGCATGCAGGTCCAAAAAGGCTGTACTGTGAGATTCCTGCCCCGCTTGAGCAGCCAAAAACACTGAAGCTCCAGGGAATCAATCCCAGGATATCAGCACAGATCAATCCATCCAATTATTGGATGACTTGACTAACTTCTTCGCCACACTTGCTTGTAAAAGCTTCTCAGTTGGGGAGATTTGAGGCCCCAAACCCCATAGGTAAGCTGGTTTTGTATTTACAAGTTATTTTAAATTTTAATGTTTTTTTTGAAGACCAATTTTTCTCAGCCTCTCACCTGAAAAGAGGAACACTGAAACATTTTGGCAGTTTTATTAAATGAGAGTAGCCAACTTCATGCTTATGGCTCTACAATGGTCACCCCAACTGGTGATTGCCTGAGGCAGCCTGACAAGCTTTTGTGAGACAGCCGATGGGGTCTGTCAGACCAGGTCTCCAGTGGGTGGCTCAAGCTGCAGGTTGCCTGAGTGGTGCAGCCCCAGTCAGATTGTCTGGCCAAGCCCGCCAAAAGCTTGTTGGAAACAACTTGTGAGACCTGGGGCCAAGTCAGGATGCCCTTCCCCTGACCGCTAATGACCGGCCAAACAGTTGGTTGTACAGTGGGTAGACAGTGAAAAGTGGCTGCTTATATTGGATTCCAGAGCTCCAATACACAGACTTGAAGTCATGAGACTTGGTCAGATGCTGCATGATATGTCACAGAAAATGAATATGAAAAAAATAAAAATAAAAAATAAAGTTTCAAAATTTGTGAAAAATAAAAAATAAAATTGATTTTTTTCAAAAGCCTTGATATTCATTTTGGGGGAGTGGGAGTGCTGAGAGAAAGAAAGAATGGGACATGGGAAGAATGATTATAAATGAAAAAATTGGAACCAAAAAAGGTTTGGCCAGGTTGTTTGTCCATATTGGAGCCAAAACAGTAAATTCTAGTGCTTTACTGCAATGTGGGCTGGTGAATGCCCCACTCAACAGCTGTTTGAAGCCATCTGGAAACCAGTTTTTCCAAAATTTTCATTCATAATCATTCTTCTAATATCCCAATCATCCTTTCTCTCAGCACTTTCACTCCCCCAAAATGAATATTAAAGCTTTTGAAAAAAATCAGTTTAATTTTTTATTTTTCAGAAATTTTGCAACTTTATTTTTTGTTTTTATTTTTTCATATTCATTTTCTGTCACCTATTATGCAGCACCTGACCAAGTCTCATGACTTCAAGTCTGTGTTTTGAAGCTCTGGAATCCAAAAAAAACAGCCACTTTTCACTGTCTACCCACTGTACAGTGGGTGGACCATTGTTTTTGGCTGCTTGTTTTGGATCCCAGAGCTTCAAAGCACCAGATTAAAGTCATGAGACTTGGTCAAGTGGTGCAGAATAGGTTTCAAAAAATGAATATGAAAAAATAAAAACAAAAAACAAAGTTTCAAATTTTGTGAAAAATAAAAAATAAAATTGATTTTTTTCAAAAGCTTTGATATTCATTTTTGGGAAGTGTGAGTGCAGAGAGAAAGGAAGAATGGAAAATGGGAAGAATGATTATAAATGAAAATTTTGGAAAAAGTGGTTACCAGATAGTTTTAACCAGTTGTTGAGTGGGGCATTCACCAGCTCACATTGCAGTACAGCACTAGAATTTACTGTTTTGACTCCAATCTGGACAACCAACCTGGCTCAACCTTTTTTGGTTCCAATTTTTTTCATTCATAATCATTCTTGCCATGTTCCACTCTTTGTTTCTCTCGGCACTCCCACTCCCCCAAAATGAATAACAAAGCTTTTGGAAAAAAACACTTTTATTTTTTATTTTTCACGAAATTTGAAACTTTGTTTTCTGTTTTTATTTTTTCATATTCATTTTCTGGGACCTATTCTGCACCACTTCACCAATTCTTGTGACTCAAAGTTATTGCTTTGAAGCTGTAGAATCCAAAACAAGCAGCCAAAAATAATGGTCCACCCACTGTACATGGGTCAGGGGGACAGGCGTCAGGCAGGCGGCTCTCATGTGAGATCGTGATGGCAGCTGATGACAGCCTCCCCCCGGGCAGTTGCAGATTGGGCGACTGACCGGCAACTGCCGGTCTGGAATACTGTCAATGGCATCAGGCGGGCTGACCATCTTGTTGGCCCAACTGAGGTGTGACGTACAAACCTGCGCCAAATCAACCGCTTGGTCAGCCTGACCTATGAATTTGATTTGATGTTGCCTTGACAGCCTGGAGGAGCGAAAAGCGCTCTGGTGGTGTAGCTTCTTGCACGAAGCTCTCTTGGTTCTTGCAAGAAACTGCAGCACCGCTGCAGACATATAATTTAGCACAGAATTTTGAATTTTTGCTGAGAAAATTAACGTCAGCTATTGAGCAAGAAAACAAATAACAGGTGCAAGAAGCAAAAAACACTATTGTGAACCCCGCTCGTGAATCTTGAAGTAGTCGGGAATCTTATTTTGTATGATATCTTTGTGAAACCTGTAGATTTCACGTTATCACAACCAAACAGCTTTACACAACATATAAATATTTAGCTGTGCATGCTATGTTCCATGGATGAGATAAAATGGGTAGGGCCCTGGTGTCAAGGCATCTGGGAATGCTACAGGAGATTTGTGCTACGTGATGGGGCACCCCAAGACACGGACGGCACCGCTGACTCTGGGTCATATGAATCTCAGGCTGAAAAGGGTCTGCATTTTTTTTTTGTTTGAAAGGCACAGGCCCCGGAGCATGCCCCAAACTCTTTGTTGTTACCATTCCTGTTTTTGTTTTTCTGTAAAAAATACATGAAGCACTACAATGAATTTAGCTTTTTAAACACAATGACAAAAAAAGTATTTCAGTAGTGTAATAAGAAAGCGTCGCAACTTATATGTCATAGCGGTCCTGATAAAACACATTTACAATGGTGTTCACACCTTGTCCTGACCCCGGATTGAAGCCTTAGTTAACTTCAACCAAAAAAAACAAGATGAACCCGTCCATGCCGTTGAAGCTGCTAACCTCAATCCCTTCCCTTCTAACTGTTTTCTGTCTCCTCGTCTAACAGCTGAAACATTTTATGATGAGAGCTTCCAGAATAAATTTTTGGCTGGGCGCTGCATCACAGGTTCTGGGCTGCTTGGGTGGCCTAATAATTGAGCCTCCCACAATCGAAGTCCGTCAGTATCATCACTGATTTTTTTCTTCTTCTTCCCCTCTAGTTGCAGTCGGAATAGTGAAATCATACAACACAGAGTATTCATATGTCGGGATCTGATTTTACGAACATGCCTGCCTCTCTCGCAGTTAACAATGTTCATGCCAGCCTCTCGCTTGATCCCCCAAAATGGAGTAAAAAAACTCAAAAGAAATCAAGCGAAGTTTACATCAATCACATCTCACAAAAGCTGAATAGACTGAGCTGTAAGTGTTTGATTTTGTTGATTAGTCTATGGTGTGCTATGACTTCGGCTTATGTGTTGTAGGTTCAAAAGCAAATGACGAAGGTCCAGATCGATTGGCATGGATGATAGGTACGCTCTTTTTGATTTCTCAAGACAAGCAATCCAAATGATAACATAAAATTTCCTTTGCACGATGTATAGTTAGAGACTTGAGCGATATCTTTCACAGCGGCAGAATTGAGTTTGAGAAAGCATGGGATAAATATATGGTAAAAGATAGGTTTTCAAGGAAAAACTCCAATCTACCCAATATTTTGCCAGAGGAAGAAGAGATATTAGGGACTTTATACAACTGGTTGAAAGGGGGCCGACATGGTTGGTCAAAGTATCAGCGTGATCTTACACAACAATGGGCGGTTTCTCGAGTCAGAAAATTAAAAGAGTTCAAGATGACAAAAGGAACTGTTAGAGTTGCAGTAGATTTCCATACCTTTGCAATGGCTTGGCATTGTTCCCGTGTTTATGATTCAATCGGTGGGTTCAAAATTTGGTTTATTCAAATTTGCTCTTATGATGTAGTGATGCGACTTGCTTACAAGGCGTTGGGTTCCGTGTTACTAACGATTTCGAAGCATACGCGTTGGCAATTTCCAGAAGTTGTCATTGGCAACCTCGTGGATTTGAAGACCACAGTATTATTGAAGTGATAGAAAAGACTCCTATATGGAGGAAATCAGATAATTGTGCAACTTCTGAAGAATATCTGAAAGTACTTATGGCTATGGAAAATCCACACTCAGCACCCCCTCTAGAAATTTCTCCAAAGTTAGGCCAGTATGATGTTGATTCATGCTACTTAGATATACTCAACAAGTGTGGGTCCTTCATCTTTACTATCCATAATGAATCAGCTGATCTCTGAAATCTCATTTGGTAAATAAAAAATGATCAGTCAATCATCTTTCTCAGATTCTCAACCTGTCATTCATCCATGAAGACAGTCAGTATCTTTTGTGGAAATGTCTGGATTCAGCAACAGATGATGAAGACCTTAAATTCTTAATGGAAGCCTTTCAAGATTTTTGTGGCTATTTCTTGAGGGGAAATCCTTTTGACAACTCATTCAAATATCATCAGCTTGTGTTTAGGATTGGCTCCAAAGTCAGGGATTATCTTGGGATTAGGACAGAGAAGCTATCTGGCTCCACTATTGAAAAATCTGGAATGGCTATGAGCAAAAAACAATCCAAATCTTCTGAAAAAACATTGATTGAAGAAATTGAAGCTTTCTATTGCAAGACCCGCTTAGTGATGCGCCATGTGGAAGAGTTCTCTCAAACTGTAAAGCAAAAAGGATTTATTTCAGTGTTCCACCCAAAACCCCGTGCCAGCCTAGCACAACTCCGTCATTTAGGTTTGTCATTTGACATTATTTTGGGAAAATATGCTCTGCAGATATAACTCAAAGGATTCTGTGAAAACTAATCCTGTGTACCTTCCATTCACCAAGCCTTTTTGATTTCTGATCACATGTCACCACTTTACAGTTTAGACTTCAATGAAGAGGCTGTTGTCTACAATATCAACAAACAACTGGAGATCCATGAGTTCCCTGCTTCTATTCAACATAGCATGCTGGGAATAATGGGGAACAAGCATTACTCCTTTGAAAATCTGAAGGAATCATTGCTACCAAGCATCAGAGAAGCTGGACAGACACAGCTAGAGGCTGTTGAGACCTTTTATGAAAACCTGGAATTTCTGGTATCAAAGATGAAGAACAAATCCACTCCTTTAAGTGAGGAGACAAAGAAGGATTACAGTTATGTTATTCAAACCAAGCTAAAAGAATTGTATCAATTGATATTAAAAAAATTTAGCCACAATGAGTTTCAAAATAACACAGTTGTATGGGAACAAGTCTTCCTGGCAGTGAAGCAGGAACTCTCATCTTCAAGTAGTGAAAATGCTGATAAGCTCATTAAAGTGTTGAAACATGGTCATCTTATCCGCAGAAACATACCTGTATTACATCACATTTGTGAGTGTTTTCTTCCCATTCTTATCTTCTAGATCTTCAATTGCAAAAGGCTGATCACTGGAGAAACTCAAAATCGTGAAAAAGATTACATCATGACACAGACCAATGAAAAGGAAAAGAAAATAATCTTTGGGGTCATGAACCATAAACTGAATTCACTTGAAGCAGAAATGACTCCAATAGAATTTGAAAGACTGTCAGAAATAAGTTTTCTTGTGCAAGCTTTATCAAAAGAAACCACTTACTCTGTGTGGAGCAAGACTCTCCTTGGGAAACTATCAATCTTACCACATGACTTGGCAATGAATTTTGATGAGATCTTATTTGATTCTTCAAGAAGCATATTAGCAAGGAAGATTGATCATTTATTTAAGTTTCACCGAATCCAGAATGTCTTGGAAGGTGTTGAAGAATTACTCTCTGAAGAATCGAAAACTACATTGAAGAAGATCACCAATTTTCTCTCTTTCCAAAGAGTTGATTGTGACATAATGATCATGGCACAAGGTTTGATGAAAGGTCTCATCACTGATTTCTCCTCTTCATATCCTGGTGATCTCTACATGAATTGTATGAAAATATAGTAGATTAGTTGAGTTTTTACCATCATAAATAATGGGGCAATATCCCTTTTGACCTTGATCCTAACAATCTAATAGAGGTAGTTTAGAAGTTCTCTTGTTCAATAAATGCCTTGTTGGAATAAATTCTGGCCATCTAGGTTCTCCTCTTCTTCCGTAAATGATTTATTGGAATAAACCCTGACCATCTTTCCACTTCCTGCTAAACATTATTTATCAATCTACATGGTGCACCCCCAAAATAAGGAATCATATTTGCCCCCACAACACAAATTTCCAACTTGCTTTGTGAAAAATCTGAACTTTTTGGTTAGAATTATGGAACACTCTTGTAAATAGTCCATGTGACTACCAAACTGAAAGCCAGAAGACAAGATATTGGTAATTTTGTTCTGCAATATAGTAGATAGACAAATTGCAATGGGAAGTTCCTCTGGACCATCAACCCAGCCTTCTGACAACCATTTGACGGGTTGGGTAGTTTTTGTTGATAATGCTCCAAGATGTTTTTTAAAAGAACAATGTGCTTGATTGGTAATATTCTTAGATAGGGTTGGACCCCGTTGGCAAGGTAGCCGGGATATCCGAGTGAGCCGGTGGGTGTTCGGCAGCAATTATCGATGGCCCGTTTGGGTTTAGCGGTGTTAATCTGTAGGATATCTTAATTTTTTAGTGTGAGAGTGAGTAGTGACTGGGTCTGCACAGCTGCACCGCCTCGACCACACATCTGCTCCCCCCTGTTGACCATCTCGCCTTCCTTCCTTTCCTTCCTTCCTCCCGTCCTTCCTGCTTCTTCCTCCCCCACCAGCGTCTTCTTCTTCTTCTTCATCTCTCGACAGTCAACCACCACCTCAAGCTCATCATGTCCAGTGGATCTGCTGCACCCAATCCTCAAAGAAGCAAGACCGTACGACTCACTGTCGTCAGTATATCATCATCTCCTCAACCCTCTCCCCCTCTTCCTATCAGAATCATCCCACTCGGAATCAATCGCTCAAGTACTGTGAATCGAAGATACTAACCTCGCCCTATGCTTACCCCTCTCCTCACTTTAGGTCGCCGCCGATGGTCTCAGTAAACGGGATGTCTTCCGTCTACCCGACCCGTTCGCAGTCATCATGGTCGATGGCGACCATACTAAAACTACCACAGCCATCAAACGAACACTCAACCCATACTGGAACGAAAGCTTTGATATGTTAGCCATCAGAAATACAAAAAAACAGAGAAATCCTATTCCAATCGTCATCTGACTCACTCCTCATCTCCCTCA